TGAGGGTAGATTTCCAAACAGAGTATTCAAGCTCACAAAGTCACACCTCTTCACAATAAGTAGAAGATTCTGGTTTTTCTTAAACAGTGTTGGGAACTGTACCAGAGCCTTGTGCATGCTGGGGAAGTACTCTGCTATCTAAGGTGATTCTGAGAATGGACAGGTAAAAAGGAGGGCCGAAATTCAATGAAGTGGCCTGAAATAACAGTTTTGCAATTTCAGTGAAAACAACAAAGACATACTGAAGTGAGTCTTCCCTCAGGAGGTATGGAATATGAATAAAATTAATGCTGGGGAAAGCTTACTTTACATTTATGCCTCTCAACATATGCCAAAATGTACTGCAACTAGGAATATTAAGAATTTAAAGCCAGGCGTGGTGGTGCACGCCTTTAATCCCAGCATCCCAGGAGCAAAGGTGGGTGGATCTCTGAGTTCAAGGCCAGCCTGGTCTACACAGTGAGTTTCAGGACAGCCAGAGCTACAATGAGAAATCCTGTCTCAAAAAACCAAACAGCAACAAAAAGAACTGAAGGATGTGCCAGGAGTGATGACACAAGCTTTTAATCCCAGCCTGGTCTACACAGTGAGACCTTGACACAGAAAACAAAAAAGAGCCAGATATGCTGGTACAGGCCTCTAATCCCAGTATGTGGGAGGTAGATCTCTGTGAGTTCAAGGCCAGCCTGGTCTACAAAGTGAGTTCTAGGACAGCCAGGGCTATGTAGAAAGACCCTGTCTGTCTCAAAGATCCAAAATGCAAAAACAAAAAGAAAAGAAAAAAGAAAAAAAAAGAAGCCTAAATTGAAGTTTAAGGAAGTTCAAATCAGAATACTTAAAAGCAAACTAGAAAACATCCACAACAAAGACAAGAAAACCAAAATCAGTATCTTTAACATCAGCACATCCAACAAATAAAAAGCAACACAAAAATTTCATAAAAGCAAACACTCCCATAGAAAGGTAGTTAAAGAATACCAAGTGGGTCCATTAATGCAAAAAGAAAATTAAACAGACAAAAAAATTGAAATAACCTACGATGTATTGTAATTTTAAATTAGGTGTGGGTATGGCCCAATGATAGATTATTCTTTGTGCTTGGATAAGAACCTGGATTTGATCCCCAGAAATGGGGAAAAAATATAAAAGAAGCTAACAGAACCTCAAATTAGCAGAAGTCATTTTTGTTTTTCGAGACAGGGTTTCTCTGTGTAGCTTTGCGCCTTTCCTGGGACTCACTTGGTAGCCCGGGCTGGCCTCGAACTCACAGAGATCCGCCTGGCTCTGCCTCCCGAGTGCTGGGATTAAAGGCGTGCGCCACCACCGCCTGGCTGCAGAAGTCATTCTTAATTCCACATATTGCAGATGAAATAATGACTCTGCTCAATGACGGGAAGTTGCCGACACAGATGCCATGTTCTGCAGGTGAAAGAATTAGCAATCTTCTTGGTAGTCATTCATTGATGCCCATCAACAACCTTCAAAAATAAATGAGCTTTGATTTCAAACAGGCAGTGGTTGTGTTCAAGTGTAGCCAATGGCTTCCTGGAGTCCCCAAGTCCCTCTCAGGGGTCTACAAGGTCAAAACTATTTTTTACAAAAATATTACTTCCCCTTCTATTCTATTGACATTTGTGCCTACTGTATACTATAGTGGGTAAACTTCTAATCCCTTTTTTTATGTGTTTTTAATAGAAATAGAATGATATCACTTTCCCTTCTCCAATCCCTTCCACCTACCCTCCCTTGGACTCCTCCCATGCCCAGTACCCCTAAAGTTGATAGCTTTTTAAATTCCAAGACTTAACAACAGACTGAGGCAAGGGTACTACAGCCATATTCAAACTCACATACACAACACAGCTTAAAAAAAAAAAGTAGTCGGGCAGTGGTGGAGTATGCCTTTCATCTGAGCACTTGGGAGGCAGAGGAAGGTGGATCTCTGTGAGTTCAAGGCCAGCCTGGTCTACAGAGTGAGTTCCAGGGCAGCCAAGGCTGCCCAGAGAAATCTTGTCTCAAATAAATAAATAAATAAACAAACAAACAAATAGAATACTTCATTTCAGAATATTCACCAATTAATATTAATTGTCATCCTTTCAAAATTCTATGTGCTGAACTTAGAAGTAAATACAGACTGTTTTTAAAGATATGGTGGTGTCTCTATGGAGGAATGCACTTGACGAAGAGCTGAGCTAGCCACTTTTTCCAGGGAATACAACTCTTACTGGAATAAACAATGAACAAAATATGATTATTCAGATTTGGGTATCTGGCAGACAGTTTTCTCAAATATAAATGACGTGAGCCTGTCATCTCAAGGAAAACAACTAATAGCATGTGTTGCCAATGATAAAATTTGAACTTTCAAGGGAAAATTCAAGTATTAGAAAGCTTATATCCATCACCATAGCTTGACAGCTTCAAATCTTACAGACTTCTAATGAGATCACTGATGAGATTAGCAAATGCGATTTTTTTTTTATATATAGTAGAATGAAAGGTGGCAACATTTGGAAGGTTTGTTTGGTTCAAAACCAATATTCCATGGGTAAAAGACCCACTGAAGTCCAGAACAGGCTTCTTGTTACAATGCAAAAGCGTGACAAGTCTTTGATGGGGTTTCACATCCCACATTACAGTCAGCCTTCAAGAAACTATCATGGGGTTGGGGATTTAGCTCAGTGGTAGAGCGCTTGCCTATCAAGCACAAGGCCCTGGGTTCAGTCCTCAGCTCTAGAAAAAAAAAAAGAAAGAAACTATCATTTGTTGGCTTTTGTGTAATACAAACACCCAGTCTTTTTTTTAATACATAGTTATCTAGAAAGCCTAGTAAGTTACTCTTCTCTTTTGCAACTACATATGAGGCCAGAGTTCCTTGGTAGAGAGCCAGGCCTAAAGGGGGTCTTGAGCTGTTGACCCCCTGCCCAGGGGTGGCACCACCCACAGTGGGCTGAACCCTCTCATATCAATCACTAATCAAGAAAATACCCCCATGAGAATGCCTACAGGCAATCTGATGGAGGCATTTTCTCTACTGAGCTGCTCTGCTTGTCCATGGATGCTAGGGACCCGAACTCAGGTCCTCATACTTGCAGGGCAAGCACTTTACTCAGTGAGCCATCTTCCCAGGCCTCTTGCTATCTTTTAATCTGCAACATATGACAACCAGCTAAACGCAAAAGCAGATGCAGTTTATTGTCTTTAAGACAGATATTAAAGAAATGTGCAAAAGTATACAACCGTATCATTTGTGTCTTGACCTTTTTTGGAATTATGGCTATTACACATAAAATACATTAACCAGTAATATTCTTACTATTCTTCAAAACAAATTTATAGTATTCTTAATTTCTCAGCTTTAATTTATATTTTAGTAAATACTTACAGCTATAACCATATAAAGACATACAAAAAAGTACATTTTAAAAAATAGTGGACCTGGTGAGATGGTTTAGTGGGTAAAAGCACTTGCCACCAAGCCTGACTATCTGAATTCAATTGCCAGGACTCATTTGGTGGACGGAGAGAAACAACTCCAAATTATCCTCTGACCTCCACACACACACTCCTTGACACATGTGGGCCCAAATATACACATATACACTAATGTTCTTTTAATATGCACATAATGAGAGCAAAGTATCAGAAAGCTCCAAAACTGCCCAGCAATGTATTTAATATATGTTTAATATATTAAAATATATTTAATATAAATGCTATTTAATATACACATGATATGTATGTACATCTTATACCTTTTCCCTTGGTGATCAGCTACCACCCATTTGACTGTTCATGGACAGAACTAAAAAAGTTAATGACAATAATTAAATTCCAACGCATCAACTGTGTTCTTGGACAGCAACTATGACAAAAACCTCTCCAGATTTAAAGGGATAACCATCATCCTTAAGTATGGACAATACTGGAAGGAGAGCTTTTCTGTTTAGAGACTAGAAAAATTAGTCTATCAAACATCAGTTCATAAAAGATATGCTTCTAATTTGTATTACCTATTATCCAATCATTTATCTTTCCCAATGAAATATCTCTCTCGTGATACATGGTCAAAGGCTATGCATTATAGATAGGAAAGCTCTCCATTTGGGGTAACTATGCTCACTCAATACCATAATACGGTTTTGAATTAAAAAAAATACAGGTACAAAATGTTCTGTATTATTTACTGTATTAACTATGATAACCTAGTTGTCTTGAACAGGTTCTTCAAGAAATGTCTGGGTCTGTTTTCACATCTTTGAGATGAGGAATCTATGTTATATAATCTCTGAGAGACCTTTCCTAGTAGCTTGGGTAATCCTAAAAGGTAACAGCCAAGTGAAGAGAGAAGTGTGAAACCCATGGGGAATATGTATGCACGTAAGGAGAAACCTTCAGCCCTGGAGGTCGCAATGGCCAGACTCAAGAGTGTAATCCCTAGGGTACCAATGTCCTCGACTACACTGAGAACCTTTTCCTGCGTAGTCAACAGCACAAGACCCCCTTTAGGCCTGGCTCTCTCGTTTATCACCAGTGGCAACACCAAAGGGTCTTCTGTTTACTACCTACCACCTCTAGGTGTCTATGCAAAGTAGGCAGCAAGCCAGTCTGATGAACCTCCAATTCTCATTTTTACTTGGCAAAGACTCCATTACCCATCATCCACTGCTAGTATCTCTGGATTAACCGCTGGACATTCATGAAGCTCCTACTATGTGTACTTTCCCCCCAATACGTATCAAGTTTTCCATCAACATCTGTAGACTTTCAATTCTATTGCAAGGCCTGGAGAGGCTCCAAGGTCTTCAGCCATTAAGTGTTCTGTGTGGTAGGGAGATGAAAGGGAGAGAGAGAGCTTTCTCATGATCCTTGACCTAACTAACCCCTGTCACTATGTTCCTCCCATTTGCGTGTGACACGTGGCTCCAATGCACTGCCAGGGTGGCCGGAACTGGGCTGAAGGCAAAAGGATGTGATGGGGGGGGATGGGGACTTACCTGGGGAACCTCTGCTTCAGCTTCCTCAAGCTCTGCCTGGTGGGCGGTACAGACACTAGGCACTGGGCTATCTCCTCGTACTGGGCTTTGGTTAGTATCATATTGGGCCCAAGGGGGAAAAGAAATCACCCTTGGGCTCGTGCAGCCTTGGTGCCAGGAAGCGAGGGAAAGGCAGATCGCAGCACGACCCTGGGTCCTGCTCCTCCTTAGCTAGCCCCTATGCCCCCAAAGCACACCCCCTAGCTGCACCGCGGGGCGGAGACACGCTGCGTCCCAGGATTCACCTCCGCGGTTCAGGAGGGCTGTAGACCTGTTTGCGCCGGCAGTGTACTGAGCAGCCGCAGTAAGCCGGGCCGAAGGCAACTGGCCGCCATCTTAGGTAAGGGCAGAGCAATCAGGAAGTGGCGGCTGCGCGCGAAAGACTCTTTGCGTCTTTTAGGGGCAGATGTCCTCAGCGTCACCTCGCTGAGATGGCACACAGAAGCTCACTGAAGCCACACTGATAGCTGCAAGAAACCAGGGAGGCCTGTCGCACAGTTCAAGGGGCGGGTCTCACAGGTGGTCCTCCAGCCTTGAGCTAGAGCCCCGGAAGTCGTCTTCTGGAGCGCGGGGTTTGAATTTGTGTCCAGACACGCCCCTTTCTTGCCGCCGCGAACATGTAGCCTGCAAGAAACAGCCTCAGGAGGTGAGCAGAAGCTCAGCAGTGCAAAGGATCTGGGCATGCCTGCAGCTTGGCTTGTGTTGGGAAAGTTCTTCAGCCGCTCTCATGGAAAGCAATGCTGTTTTTGTTGAGAATTTAAATCCTGCGTCTTAAAGCAACTGGCAGCAGAATGTCAGTTTCGCTCCCTACACCCCAAAAAGTATGTTCTTCATTCTGGCCCCCAAAATAGTGGGCTGTTAAAGAATGTGTATAGGAGTGAAACGCTGAGATAATTTTTTTTTCAATATGTACTGTGAATAGAACACAGCTCTCCTAAGTCAATATATTAGAGCAACAGCCCCTCTAACCCCTTTTTAAAAAATACCTTTGCTTCTAAGATGGACATATGTTGTGTGTGTTCTCTTCAAATTTAAACATTTTGAGCAAGTGAAAGAAAATGTGCTAAGGTCAAAGGGGTCTTATCTAAGCCGATCTTCCAATTTACGCTTTACAGCAAATGAAAGCTACGATAAACTGTTTAAATGTGCTAAGGTTTGATAAATTCCTTAATCCAACAAAGCCTCAGTTACTCTACATATAATTTTTTTTAATTTAACTCATAAGGCTGGTTTTAAGAATAAGTAAGGCAATATATAGCCACATTATGGAATCACCCTAGATGTCAGTCAACAGGAGAGAGGATAAAGAAAATGTGGTTTACAAACACAGTTGTAAAGCTTCAAATGATGTCATCTTCTGGGAAAAGGACTCAAATGAATATTTTGTGTTTCCTCTCAGCAGTTTTACACAGATTACAAATACGCACCATACACACACACACACACACACACACACACACACACACACACACACGCATGGATATATATTTATACATGTACACACATATACATACACATGTAAGAAATCAGAGAAAGACTGAAGAAGTAATGAAGCTAGGAGAGTGTGTGAACATGATATACATGAAAATTTACATTTGTGAAATCTAGCACTGTGTACAGGACCATACGCCAATAAAAACAATAAGATAGTACAAGTAAAAATTTGCTTGCATAGCGTCCAGCAAATAGTCTATGTAAAATAAGTTAAGTAAGTAATAAGTTAAGTAAACTGAGTAGGATATTTACTAGCTAGTGCTTTGTAGATTCCCTTGTAAAGACTCACTTAATCCCCATAACTTCCCTTGGTGCAGGTTCTATCCCCATTATGGCCCCCTCCTTCCTTTGTACAGACTGAACAAAGGCATGAGAGGTTAAGGAACTTCCCAGAGGTCATGAGAACAAGTAAATAGCAGGAGTGGAATTCAAGTGAAAATTGGAATGTGGTGTTGTGGGCTCTCAACAATGCTTAATCACTTCATCGGATAGTCACTCTTCTAAACCCTAAGGTTAAGGATTTTTTTTTTAAGTAAATACTCTAGTTTGTTTTTTTTTAAAATCATATTCCAGGGGCTCTTTTTTCCCCCTCTAATGTTTTACTCCTTTATTTTCTCAATCGTTTCAAAAGTCCAGTACCAGCAGTAGATCCTAAATTGAGCAAGCATCGCCAGTTTCTAGATCTTTACATCCGAATGTTTCCTTCCCATATGCTTTACATCTAGCTCTGGTTGTGTGACATTAGTACATAACTGTTATTTATGGCAGCAGAGCCTGGAGTTGCCACCTGGCTAGTTTGTTGCTGACCCTGCCATGACTTTGACATGAAAGCTGACTGACGATAAGCAGACACCACTTGGCTGCCCATTCCTTTCCCCTTCACAGCTTCACTCCTTCCAATTCACAGCCATCGGATTTTTATAGAAAACAGCGGTTCAAGGATGTTTGAACAAGTTATTTTTATAGCAACTCCTCTCCCTGGCTCTTGTCCTGTGCTCACCCTCACAACCCTTAAGGAAAATGCCAGGTTTGTTTTTCTTTTTCTTTCTTTCTTTTTTTTTTATTTTTAACATGCTGGCAGTTTACTATTTTGACCCAAATCCAGTAGATTAATATTTAGAGTTAGTGCTGGGAGAAAAGGAACGTTATGTTGCTGTTGGCAGTGACAGTAGTGTTGTTTATTAAGCACAAAATAGAGGTTGGGCAGACCTGTTCTGTTGTGACTTCGTTGGTTTCTTTTTCCTCCCGAAGTGCTTGCGATGGCATGTACGTGAGGCCTCCTTGCTTCCTGCTTCTGCCTGTCTTACTCTCTTCTCTCATCCTACCCGGTGTCCCTCATCTGCTGTTGTTTCTTCTAGGGCTTTCTCTGCAAGTTTGTGTCCCTGTTTCTCAGTCAGCCAGAAATACCATGTCCTAAGGAAGGGCAGGCTGTGGAATAATAGCACAAAACTGAAAACTGAAACAAACAAGAAACCAGTCTGGCCATCTTCCTGTTTGGAATTGACCGTGGACTATCTGATCGTGAACAACTGACAGCCTTTCTCGTCCTGAATGTTCTGACTATAGCACAAGCAAAGGAATGGCTGGGTCTCATCTGAAAGGAAAGAGAACCTTAAAATGTTGGGAAAGTGTCGGAAAGCAGACTCAGAGGGAAAAAATAAGTAGGGCCTGGTATAACACCCTGGAAGAAGCTACAGTTCTACAAAGTGAAGGAAGTTGATCAGATTTCTTTGGACCAATTCCTGGTTGATAGAAATAGTGAACATCTTTGAAGAGGGATGGAGTGTGGAGGGGAAGCAGGTGGTCCTTTCAAGAAGGGCACTGATACAAAGGGGGGAAGTTAAGAATGAGCCATGTTATAGGCCTGGTGAAATTATTCAGACTGGAGCAAAGAGTTCTAAGCAGAGTGAAGAGTGTCTGACTTTGAAAAGACTCAGCCACATTTTCAAAGGGTCTACCAAATCTAATGAGTGTTTTTAAAGTAGTGGACATACTACTTTTATTGTATTGAAAACTCTTATTCTATTCATGGGGTCTCTATCAACATTTACAGCGATAGTTTTAAAGAAAAGTAATGAAAATCTATTAACTGAACACGGGAAAAGAAGAATGCTAATGTTTTTTTGAGAATCTATCATGGGCAGTTATTATCCCCTGTGGTGATTTGAAAGAAAATGGCCCCCAAAGGGAGTGGCACTATTAGGAGGTGTGGCCTTGTTGGATGAAGTGTGTCACTGTAGGGGCGGGCTGTGAGGTCTCTTTTGCTCAAGCTTCCCTCAGTGTGATTCTCAGTTGACTTCCTCTTGCCTGCTAGATTTAGAACTTTCAACTACTCCAGTACCACTTCGGCCTGAACACCACCATGCTCCCCAGTGTCATGATAATGGACTGAACCTCTGAAACTATAAGCAAGCCACCCCAATGAAATGTTTTCTTTATGAGAGTTGCCATAGTCATGGTGTCTCTTCACAGCAATAGAAACTTTAACTAAGACATCCCCTTACTACTTCATATCACTTCACATATATCTTTACAATTCCACTGTCCAGTAAAGCTGCTAGTTTTCATACTGGAAAATGAAGCTAATAATAATAATGGGGGTTGGGCTTGGAAAGATGGTTCATCAGCTAAGAGCACTTGCTGCTCTTGCAGAGGACCTGGTTTTGGTTCCCAGCACTTTCGTGGTATCCCCCATAACTCCAGTTCCAGGGGATCCAATGACCTCTTCTGACCTCCATGGGCATCAAGTACACATGTGATGCATATACATACATGCAGGCAAAACACTTATACATATAAAATAAAATTTTTTTTAAATTTTAAGAAGGCTTACCTGTAAGGTCTAGCTACTAAATCGTAAAACCATGATTTGAACCCAAGTTAATCTGACCATGAGATACCACCCAATGTAATCCATTTTTTGAACCAAAGTTAAAATCACTATACTTTTCACCTTTTAGTGACAAATCATTTTATTCTAATCTCAAAACAACAAAAGCTTCTGATAATCAGTGGAGATTAAACAACTGTGAGGAGGAGACCTGAGACAAGTACTCAACTTTATGACTGAAGAAAAGGAAACATTAAAAAAAAAAAAACTCAACTGTAAAAGGACAAGGAAGAACAAAACCAAATGTTAGCCTCCATATGGAAGTCAGTGAGGGAGGTCTGTAAAACCAATGGTCTGACTCCAGTAGAAGGCCACATGTCTGTGGGGCTTTCGCTAAGACACACTACAAGCAGAAACTGCCCTACCTATATGCAATTCAGTGTGGTACCTCTTTGGGTCTTTGTTATTCAAAAAATACTAAGGTGCTTACCAAAGGTAAGAAGTACAGGTGGCTTCTAGTTATTTCATCAGTTACTGTACAACATTCTAGAACAGTGTTTCTCCAATTATCAATGTTAAACTCCCTACTTTCCTTCCATTTGTTGTGGAGAAATCATTAAAAGGAAATCAAAAGTGAATTACTGAAAAATGAAGTTTAAAGAGATAGAGACAAACCAGCAACTTGTCAATATGGGATTCAGTAGAACGTCATAAATATTTGCAACTTCAATGCTTATTCTATCCAGATATGTAACAAAAAGTTTGACAGCCATTACTTGCTTACAGACAACAGTTTAAGCACCACTGTGAAGAGTTTTTGTCCTACTAGCCAGCTCCCAAATAACCATATGGAGAATTCTTAATTATGAAACCTTGGCTGAAATATTTGGCTTGTGTTTAGCTAGCTCTTATAACTGAAATTAACCCATTTCTATTCATCTATGTGCCGCCCTGAGGCTTGTTTACCTCATCAACATACTGTCCAACCTGCTTTCCTGGTTCCTCTGTGTCTCCTCTCCACTCCATCCTTCTTCTTCCTAGCGTCCTCTATGACTGGAAATCCTGTCTAGTTGTGGCCATTCAGCTTTTTATTAAATCAATCACAGGGACCTATCTTTATACAGTGTAGTCAA